GCTATTAATATTGAGTTCATATTATTTAATCCTGAAGCCTCAAATCAGGAGTTTTGCTATTAATATTGAGTTCATATTATTCAATCCTGAAGCCCCAAATCAGGAGTCTTGCTATTAATATTGAGTTCAAATTATTTAATCCTGGAGCTTCAAATCAGGAGTTTTGCTATTAATATTGAGTTCATATTATTTAATCCTGAAGCCTCAAATCAGGAGTTTTGCTATTAATATTGAGTTCATATTTCATATTATTTAATCCTGGAGCCTCAAGCATCCCTGCTCTTCTGCAGTCCCGGCGTCCTCAGCGGGGCTGGAGCTCCCCGCGCTTGGTCCCGGCTGTGAGCCGAGTCGGCAGCGGACGCAGAAGTTTTCGAGCAGCTTACTGGGTTTAGGGATTAGGGTAAAAGTTTTCGAGCGGCTGAAGCTGGATTATGTAGGATTTTTGTGTTCATGCAGTGTGTGTTTGCGGGGTTTCGGGCATTTGGGGCTATGCGCATTTTGGCGAGACTCTGTCAGTTAGGCTTCGGGTTGATATCTACTTGTATCTTTAAGCGTTTTGTAGTGTTGCATGCAGGTTCTGTCGGGTGGTTTGGGTGGTACTTCGGATGGGGCGTACAATTTGTGTCGCAAATCCCGCAACTGCGGATATCCTAACTCAATCTATCTCACAGATCCTATTTCGACACCACTTTGTTGAATCTCCGGGAGATCCAGTAGCCAGTGCGAAGAATTTCACTTCTACGGGTCATGAACAAACACCCGCATTCAAGTTTGACATGTCTGGAGCGGGGACAGTGTGTCTGCGTGGACACGAGGCCGTGCTAACGGCTGCTCTGCCACAAAGGTTGGTCCTGATTCTTCCTTATGTCCTCACGTCTGACCTCAAGACACAAGTTCGAAAGTGAAGCACGCCGTACTTCATCCTCCCAACGCTTTAGCTTCCAAGAGCGTATTCTATGGCATGCTGCGTGAGTTGCATCCCCTTAGCTCATCCGGTTGGTCAAGTCCTGATTACGAAGGCTAAAAAAAGGAATCATCAAGCAATGCGCTAGTCACCCTGCAGAACTGCAACCACCTTAGTTTTGCTTACACGCGCTTTTCTAAGGTCGCCACATGCAAGGTACAGGGCCACCTGCAGCAGGCATCATCTCGAACGTATGTTAGGCGGCTGAAATGCCCTCTTCCTGGCATTGTCTGACTCTGACACTGTGGCCGTGATCTTGCAGGAACTGTCATCACAAACGTACCTGACGATAGTGTTTGAACCCACGTCAGCAGGCTTCAAGCCGTGTAGGGATAAGGCACTCCGCCCTGAAATGCACCGACTCCCAGTAGCCAGACATCAACCGTAAGCCTGCAGAAAGAGTATCCGGGTTATCCTACGACAACCTCAGAACTGCCACAACCGTATGCGACTTTGCGTAGGGCGTAGATTCTAGATATGAGCCTTGAAACACTGTTTGGACCTTGCAGGGAGCCTTGAGATCAGAACAAGCCCGGAGTCCTCATACAAGCAGTCAGAGGCCCCCGACCAAAAAAGTAGGCCTCACCCCTCACCTCCAAACCAACTCAAAAGTGCCTGTCCGAAGCAGTTGGTACGGTGCACCGATGCGCCAGCTTGAATCAGAAGCTGGACCTGCATCAAGGTCAAGGGCTGCTTGCGGTTCTCTTAATGGCTTGGAGGCTTCTGGAGCCCCTTCTACTTCTAAGGGAGGTGAGGGTTTGCAGAACACTTCAAAAACTCTACAAGCCTTTAGCTAGTCTCATTCAAGTCCTTGCTGACCGAGTAACCAAAGCAACCACCAAACACTTGGACAAAGGCCCTGAACATTGAGTTCGACCAACACCACGCCATACTCTGCACTGGGCCCCATGCCACGGCGCCATGGCCCTTTGCTGCCGCCCGTGCCAGTGGCCTAGTAGTCTGGTATGGGTCGAGGGGTGAGCGGAAATTTCAATAATATTTTATACTGTTACTAGAATACACTTTTGTGTACTATAGCCTTACTGTGATACAGTCATGATTTGGCAGTAGCCATGGTGGCGGTCGACACTTGTAGCTCAACATGTCATAGTATGACGAGCTTTACTTCCTCATGCCTGATCCTACCCTGTCTACCTACTAGCACTACCTTAAGAACCCAAAACCACTTTTTTTGTAGGTTCTTATTGTAAACCCTAATATGGGATTTATAGGGACCCTACAAAAAAGTAGGTTTTGGGTTCTTAAGGTAGTCAGCTCATAGCGGCTACGTGGCAACTCGCAGTCTTCTCGCAGATGACTGCCGGCCGCAAACCCTTACTCCTCAACCCTAAACCCCGAAGCTCTGGATCCAGCCACTGTCTCAACCTTATAAAAACCTTGCAATGCGCCCTGAGCCCTCAAGTCGAAGTCCCGCCTACAACCCAGCAACTCTCCAACCCCAAGTTCTGTAGCACACTGTACTTGCAGAAGCTTTTACTTGCAACGGCACACAGATCTCCGGGCATCATAGACCCTAAAATCTAAAGCCTGCATTAAAATCCCCCAAACCCTGAACCGTAGACGCTACAGCACATCGATACTGTAGGGGCCTTACTGAATAGAATAGGGTTTTAATTGGGGCTCCTTGTTATAATTATAGTATAATATACCCCCAGACCTTATTCTAATGATTAGGGCCCCTATAGTGCTCTATAATATATCCCCAAACCCTATTCTAATGATTGAGGCCCCTATAGTACTCTAGACAAGTGGCGTCTCGCCCCGCTCAGTCTGAGCTTCTAAGACCTTCCGATCCTGCGATGGCTTCGTGCTGCTACAACGGTCTTTGAAGTCTGTATGTGGGTTTAGGGTTTAGGGTTTAGGGGGGTAGTTTTCTAAATTAGGGTCCCTTTTGGGGGTCCTTTTTATAAGGGTGCCGTACTATATTGGGGACCTAAACAGGGACCCTAATTTAGAGAACGACCCATATAGGTCCTACAGGGTTTGGGGTCTAGGGTCTTAGAGAGCATGTAGAGCTTTCACAGGGGATTGAGAAGCTTTTTTGGGGTTTAGAAAGTCTTTTCGTATTTTACAGGTATTCTTCTAAAGAGTCTTGATCGTTAGAATGAATAGGATTCGTGGGCCAATTATTCTGCAAAGTGTCTATGAGGGAATATGGTGCAGGGCTCAGGGTTTGGGGTTTTGGCCCGTTTCTGCGCGAAGTTCCCGTTTTTGGGTCCCTAAACTAAACCCAAAACCCTAAATTTTAACCCTGAACCCTAAACCCAGTGCGCGTGGCGTTTTTGGGTCCCAAGCCGTGCAGCAGCCAGGAAGCCGACCCACCAGCCCATAAACCACTAAGCCGATCTCCTTATAGTCCCAATGGAACTCTCTTCGGTTCAAATTGTACCTTAAGAACCCAAACCCCACTTTTTTTGTAGGTTCTTATTATAAACCCTGATATGGGATTTAGAGGGACCCTACAAAAAAGTAGGTTTTGGGTTCTTAAGGTAGGGTTTTGGGTTTGGGATCTGTTAAACTGTTAAGGCCCCTCCATGACCCACTCACACGGCAAGGCCCCACAAAGCTCGAGCCAAACAGTCCTGAGTCCCGTTTGACCTGGGCGGAATTAGGAGTCACGGCAGTCGCAGGGAGATAAATGACTCAAAAGTTGGAGTCACGTGGTGTAAAGTACTTGCTTCAACCTCGTCCGCTCAATGCCAGTAATTATGGTGCTTCGGAACTGTTGAGTTCCTACGCTCAAGAACGTCCTCGAATGGGGGAGAGGGGCGAAACAAGTTCAGAAGTAGCACGGGAAAGCTTTTCTCACACACATACTCACTCACTCATTCATCTTCGCATTATTCCAGGTGCAGCTATCATTCTTCTCTTCATATTTGCTTCAACTCCATCCGATGCTAATCAGCAGCCAACACCTGATTCCGCCTAAGCTGCATCCCTCAATCCAACCCTGACGCGGTAGACTCCCAAGCCTCGAAACCAGCCTGCCTGCAAAACTGTATATAGCCTTCGGCCACTGGTCCGAAATACCTGAAGCCGAAAACCCTAAAACTCCAAGCTTTGAAACCATAGGCTTCCACACGAAACCAATTCCCAAAACACTAGAATCTAGAATGCTCAATTCCCCTCAACCCGAAGCGGATATCCTTTTTGCCAGGCTTGCCGAGTCCACAAGCAAGACACGCAACGAAAACTTAGAGTTTCAGGTTCACCCTGGAAGTGCACTACTGAGCATTCTCACGAAGCGGAAATTTTAAACCCAGAAACCTCCAGCCCCCTCAACCCTAAACCCTTTTTGCATCAGGACTTGTGCAATCGCCTGAATGTCCGAGCCTACAGAAGTTCAGCTCTCACGACTGCGCTTCCATATGAACCCTAAAACCCCCAAGGCGAAACTCGGGATCCCGGCTCTTTGGGATTCAGCAGCACGGCCGTGGCCACCGAAGCACCCGACTCGGCGGCCATGTGCAGGGCGTTGCGCTTGTCGACCGTCAGCGCGCCCTGGGCGACGATCAGTGTGTCGTTGCTTTAGATATGTATATCTATATATATATATATACGAACATATGTACATGCGTATACTTTCTACCTTCTACCACTATCTACTATATAATATATACTATAGTCTATAGTCCAAAGTCTGTGTACTAGATACGAGAGGCTGCGCTATACTACACTCGCCTGTCAAAGGTTCGTTGTTGCATCTAACACAGGATCTAGGGGTACTGCTCAAGGAGCTTGAGGTCTAGCTTTAGGGTCTTGTTGAACCCCCAAAGGATCCTAAAAGCTAACAGGGGGGATACTTACCCAAACTTTGATAGACATTGCTACTACCGAAACCTTACTTCCTACTACGCAAGTATCTTGGACCCCAGCCTTTGCTTGACTTTTTTGGTCTCCTGCCTGTTGGTTGATAGTTTCGGGGGGCGGGGAGGCTTCCAAGGTTTGGTGGGTGAGGCCGTTTTAAGGTTTCTATACGGGGCAGGATTCTTGCATGCTGACTAATATTTTTTGGGTTGCGGGTTATACGATGTGGTTATGGATTAGAATATACACATATATATATATATATATATATATACACATATGTATATATATATATATGCAAAACAGGATGGGACTTAATCTGATGTGCGGTTTTCTCTGTCTGTCTATCTGTCTATCTATCTATCTATCTATCTATCTATCTGTATAACGTGTATGTGTATATCTGTATATCTATGTATACACACGGTGAAAGCCTGTCCGTTTTTGCAAGGATCCGCGAGCTGTGCCCCGAACTGGCTTGGCGCCATGGGTGATCAAAGTCTGAACCTTGGCAGGCCGGGCAGGTCACATAGAGGCGGACATGGTCCTGGTCTTTCTGCTTGTGATGGCCCTTCTCACAGCTGCCAGCCGAAGCCTTGCAAACATGGGCAACATTGGTTAACACGACTATTGACTACTTATGCCACGATCACCACCGCTGCTGCTGCGTTTGCTCTCTCTCTCTCTCTCTGCCGTCACATCTACGCTCTGCTTGTTGCTGTTACATGTGCTGGCTGCTGTTGTCGTACTTGTTGTTTATGACAGCACAGCTAATCTCACGGCCGTTGTGTTGTCTACGCCATGCTGCTATGGCTGCCAATATGCTGTAACGTCAATGAGTCAAAACCATAGTCCAGGCCATAGTCATCCTACTGGTCTTGACTGGGCAGCAAACAATGACCCTGCTGCTGATGATGACGGTGGCGGCTCATCATCGCCGTTCGTAACCATCAACAACAATTATCATCATCACCATGCCCATCGTCATCGACATGGCTAGCGGCGTTCTCACAGTGCATATGCGTTTTGATGGCATCACTAAAACTGTAGCGACGGCATCCGGGGTGCGGGATAACGCCGTGAGAATGACAACAGTAATATAGCATTTGCACAACTATGGCACTGCTACGGGCCATAGCCAAAAATCACATAATGACATCACGGGATCACTCGGTCCCTGTATCCAAGATTCTTCATGCGTTCTTGTGAGCATGAGGAATCCTTACACGACCGGTGTCCGGGGGGGACGACCCTGCTACAGACTTCAACCACCCGTTTAAATCAAGAGCACTCTAAGCCCACAGAAAAGCTACATCCTAAAACCTGCTTGCCTCAGTCCATAAATCCACACCCCAAAACCTCACACAGCATACAAGCAAACAAATCAAAAGGCGACCTGACCTCTTGAAAGTCGGAAACAGTTTAGGGTTGGAGGGTTTTCGGGTTTAGGCTTCAGGGATTTGTTTAGGGTTTACAGGCTATGGGGCTTAGGGCATAGGGACTGCACTCCCCCTTTTTCCGCCCGACATCGCCCAGCGCTTCAGAGCCGTGCTGTGCGTCGATCATGGGCATGGCGGGGAGCACTACGCGTTCTTTCGCATCGCGGGGCATGTCGATGCAACCCCCCGAAACCATAGTTCTAGCTGCTTCTAGCAGCAGGCTGAGATTCCTCCCTGAACCCTAAACCCTAAACCTCTGAACCAAAGTTCTAGCTTCAGGCTGACAGTACGGCATTGCTTTGAGGCGAAGGGGGGGGATTGGACTCAGGGATTCTCTGGAAATCCCTCCCAGTGGATCCGCAAGGCGATGTTCGGGAAGCGGCGTCGAAACCTCAGAGTTTTGGTGCACTTGCGAGCAGGGAAGAGGGGTGGTGGGTTGTTCGTCTGGTTGGGGTTTTTCTCTCCCCTACTTAGCAAGGACGATCCTGCATTGCAGGGTCGGGGGGTTAAAGTTTAGTGTTCAGGGTGTAGGGTTTAGGCTTGCAGGATTACAGCAAGCTCTTGCTAACAGGCAGTGGAGCAGAGGCCCAGCTCTCCATGTGGAGGTTAACATTCAATCTAAGGCATGGTGTTGTTCTACAGTAGGGGAGCCCTCTCCAGCAACAGCCCCCCCCCCAACTGAAGGTTCAGTATCTTAGTCACTTGGCAACGAACTCTCACAGATCCGAACCTTCTTACTGTATGGGGGGTTCCAAAAATAGGGGACCCTAATATAGCACCCTAAATAGTAGTATCCCTATTATAAGGACCCCAAAATAAGGTACCCCTAATTGTCGGAAACTCCCGTATGTGGATGCAGAGCCAGTATACAACTGTCACCTCCTAACCTTTCCGAACTCACAAACAGATCCGACAAGCCAAAAGTGCTAAACCCTAAACCAGAGTTCGGGGATGTACGGTTGATGATATACACCCTGCATTACCCATCGTAAGAACATACCATAATTCCCATAGTTTAGGGTCCTTAAGGTAATGCAGGATTTATATCATCAACAGTATGTGCCCCCGAAACGGCATCGACTCCCAACTCGACCGATCCAGGGTGCTGAACCATGGCCCCGATGCAAGACAGGCAAGGTACCTGTTCAGAGCCCGGGGCTCCAGTTTAGGGTTTAGGGCTTAGGGTTTATAGGGTTTAGGGCTTAGGGTTTATTGGGTTTAGGGCTTCGGGCTTATAGGGTTTAGGGCTTTTTTCCCTCTCGCATGGCAGAGAACGAAGCTCACAGGCGAGGTTCAATGGGAGGTTTACACTGAGACCAGTTACTCCGGTTTAAGGCTTAGGGCTTAGGGTTTAGGCTTTAGGCTACCGATATAGTACATTCTTTCGCCTAGAACTTGCTATATATGGTAGGGACTACATTAAGGCCCGAGTAGTTGTAGACTATATAGAGTGTTACGGTCATTCATTTAAGTCGTCTGCAGGAACTTGATTCAGAAACCCCATGTGTTCAATGGATGTTGCGGCTCGTTCCTGCATCTCCTATGGGATGCTCTCAACTAGACTGGCCAGAGAGCTGTGTGTGTATAGGTCATGTTCCCACTGCCCTGCACCTCTCTTCTTTCAAACCTCGGATCTTCACTCCAAAGCTGCCCCAAACTCTGAGATCCAACACCTGTACACCATCAGGGGCTTAGGGTTATGAGTTTAGGGTTTAGGGCTTACCAAGCCCAAATACCCTCAAGTCTCAATGACCCGACCGGCCCCTGCACCCATGCAGCATGGACTGCGAGAACCTGACGGCCAATGTACATGCTTCGGAGGTACATGGACCCTTGCTTTAAACTGCAAACAAACCTACTTTTTTGCAGGTGCCCATGGAGTTCTGTCAAAGGGTCGATGATAAGCACCTACAAAAAAGCAGGTTATGGTAGTTTAGTGTAGGGAGTTCGCGTGTCAGAGAGATGGCCTCGGTCATGAAGAGCTGCAGCTGACCTTGCACAGAGGCCTCGAAGACTGATCTTTTTGGTCTAGAGTTTCCGGCATAAGGTTTAGATTTTTCGGCTTAAGGTTTGGGGTTTTGGGATTTTGGATCAGGGTGTTGTGAAGGGTTTGGGAGCCTTTGGGCTTTAGTGCTGTCGGGTTTTGGGATTGAGGCTTTGTGGGTTACCTTACCGTGCAGGATCCGAGATATAAGAAACGGTTGAACAAAAAATGAATTACAATGAAGACTCTGGGTAAGAGGGTGATGGGATTCACCGCTTGCTTCATGCTTTGGAATGTTCTAAAGGTTTGCGCGGCTTCCGGGCTTTTGGTGATCGGCGCACAGCGTGCGGAGCCTGCTGTTGGTAGGGTGCGGCGATTGAAGCCCAGAGGATAAGGCTAACTTGCAGGTACATGTAAAGCTTGTCGGCTTCGGATTTCCATGCAACGGGGTTTCCTGTTGTTTCTTGTGCTTGGTTCAGCATCCAACGGGCACTTCAAATCTCTGTAAACTACTTTTAACGCCCCGAGAACACACTAGTAGTCAGACCCCATCCCCAAAGATCCTAAGTAGCTATATGGGGTACTTGCCCCAAACCATCATAGAATTTGCTACTACAGAAGCCCTACTTTCAAAACTCTGCAAGTACTTAGGACCTTTTGGGTAAGTGCAGATGCCTCCGAGGCTTCCCAAGATAGTACGGCACCGTTACTCATATATACATATACATACATATATATATATATATATATATATATGAGGCCTTCCGAAAATAGGGGACCCTAATATAGTACCCTAAATACTAGGGTCCTTATTATAAGGACCCCAAAATAAGGTACCCCTAATTCTCGAAGATTCCCATATATATATATATATATATATATATAGGACCCAAACAGGGACCTCTCCTGAAGCTCCCTTTAGTTTAAGGAGCCCCAAAAGGGACCCTAACGTAGAGAACTATCCTATGGTACGTTTCTAGAAACCTTATTGAAGCCCGTGTAGATCCCTTTCATACCCGAAACCCTAAACCCTTTATGGAACCCAAAAGTTGGACCCCTTAGTGCTCTAAGAACTCCTCAGAGTACCAAAGCTTCCCGTCTGCAGCCTCCGCGTCCCTGGTGACCACCCGTGGTAGTTCTGCCTTGTCTAGCAGCTGACTCTGGGTTTAGGAAGGTTCTGGACCTGTACGTAGGGTTCACGGTTTCGGGCTCTGGAGGTTCAGGATTATACGGAAAAAGCAATTAGGGTGAAGCTTAGTATAATTAGGGTGTAGTTTAGGACTTTTATCGGCTCGGACTTTCAAGTTTTGAGGTGTGGCAGGTGCAACCGCTGGCCCTGTCATATACGACTAGGGTGTCAGAACCATCAGGACCATTACCGGCAATCACCCTGCGTATGCAAAGGTAATGACTCAAAGAGTTCTGTAAATGCAGATGAAGATCGAGCACTTTCTTGCATGCCCTTGAACTTTAATGCACTGGCAGCGATATGCCTCGTCTCAGCGGTAATTACAAATGACACGCAGCATGGTGACCTGGTCTGGCGATGAGCACCGACTCTCGAATAATTAATTCCAGCAGCATGGTATCTTCCAAATTACCAAGCCTCTTTTTTAAGCACGGACTTGCAGTGTATGCCGTATGCCGGCAGCCAGCTTCATTATCAAGCCTCTGAAACTTAAATCATCTTAAACTTGAATACCTTAGCCCGCCTAAACCCCTAAATCCTAGACTCTACACCAAGGGGTTGGCAATAAGGCTCTGTGTCCTCGCCTAACACACGTCGTAATGCCAAGAACCCTCAAGCCACAACACCCTGAAACCCTAAACATCCAAGTTCTCCAAACTCCCAACATCCTAAATCCCTATCCCTAACCCCCCTCCAAACCTCTAGAACCCAAACTTCTAGTACTTATGACCCCCCTTTTTAACCCGAAAGAAGCGCCCCACCTCGGGCCGCGCGCCGGTGCGGAGCATCTCCTGCGCTTGAACCGAAGCCTCCTCCGGGCTCAGGGTCGGAACCTGCCGGGGCAAAGTTTAGCATTCCCTAAGGGTCCATGTACCCAAATAGTATATACATTGGCCTTAAAGTAGTCCCTATATAGGTACTTTGGGGCCAATGTATATATACTATATGAGTACATGGACCCTTAGGGATTGGGGTATATAAAACAACACAGTGCTCTTATAATAGCATGGCAGCCGACTAGAGGATGAAGGAAGGCTGAAATTCGAACTTCATCTTTATGTGAGTTTGAAGATTACAGTAGAAATCGAGAGGCCATAAATACTCAGACTGAAAATGACCATAACAATCAAAGTGAGAATGACAACATCAAAAGCAACAGTTGATACAAATAATTCAGTCATTCTTCCTCATGAGTTGCTGCTAGCCCATAAAATTCTAGAAGCCCTATAGAACCCATGTACAACCCTTATGAAACCTTTCTCGAAGCCTTATGCGAAAACCCCTACAAAGCCCGAATGAAGCCTGCAGGAGAGCCCTCGCAGCAGCGGCCGTTCGCGCCATGGCCCGGAATTCGGCATCCCAGGCCTTTCTTCGGGTGTCTCTGGTTGGTTCGTGTCTCGGGTTTCGGGCATCGGGTCCCTTTACAAAAAGACCCCAAAAGGGACCTGATTTAGAGAACTACCCACGATGCGGGCTTTGATTAAGGTTTATGTAGGTTTCAGGGCTTGGGTTTTGCTAGAAGGTGGAGATTCAGAGTTTGGGGGGTGTCGGCTATAGGTTGTAAGTATCGAGTTAATTAGTACCCTAAACGCAGCTACCCCATTATCTCAAGTTATTATAACCTTTCAAACAATCGACTTAGTAAGTCCCCTTGGACCTATAATACCAAGAGCCCAAACCTCAGAGACAAGACCTTCGCTACCGTACTGGAGGCTGGCTCGTGCACACCTTCCCCAAAGTATTGTAAGTACCTGCATACTAGATAGTAGGGCTTCTATTTTCGATAGTAGCAATTACATGTATGGTTTGGACAAGTATTCCCCATGCAGCTACTTTGGATCGCTTCGGTTCCCTTATTAAGACTTGCGATGAGGATTCTTCTGTTCATGACCGTTTTATAGGAAAAGGGACTTCTTGCCGCAAACTCCACACAAGGTCTAGTGTGTCTAGTTCGAGTTTCGCATTTCCCGCATTTTCACATTCCTACGACACTAGCGACTCAACAATTAACAAACTAGGAGCCCACTAATCACCTTAACAGCCACTGCTTAAAGCTAACATCCGCACAAGAGGCAGGTCAAGTAGGTTTGCAACAGTTTATGCTTAGGTGCTTTTGTGGACTCAACACTATAAAGTCTAAACCCTACACCATCAAACCCTAAACCCCACAACCTCAAGCCCTTTTTGCTACTGAACTCAAGTCCCTAAACCTAAACCCTAACCCTAACCTGCACTCTACAAAACCTGCCTTTTTAGGGAGCCCTATTATGATTTATTTATATAAGCCCTTAAATAAATAGGCAGGTTATTCGGGGTTAAAGAAATCCTACTAACACGGCAACTTCTGGAAGCCAAGGATCACGATGGTCAACGCGGTCGTGATGGAGCTTCACGTGGATGAAACCGCCACAGTCCTTCGCTTCTGTTTTTAGGAATATAGGGCTTAAGGTTTAAGGTTTAGGGTTTAGGGTTTCGTGAGGGTGGAGGGGTTTCGGCGCTCACACTCGGACAATCCAGGCGAGGCATCCGGGTTTTGAGTCGGCTGTGTGACACCATCGGTTGACAAGACGCCGCACCTTGAGGGGTGAGGGTCTCAAAAGGTTTCAGCTTCCAACTGGACTACGCTTTGGGGTGCGCGGGCGGGGGGCAGGGGGGTGATCGACTTTCCGAAATTCCAGGAACCCTTATTTGTGGTTCCTTCTGTTTGTATGCTGCTGCTGCTGCTGCTGCTGCTGCCGCTGCTGCTGTTGCTTTGCGCCTGTTGTAGAGGTTGGGACATGCATGGGGAGCACAAAACGACAAAGAAGCAGTGTGGCCGCGCATGCATGTATTCCGAGCCATCAGGCTCCACACGTGCCCGGACCGTAAATGAACATCTTGAAGCCACTTCCAGACTCGTCAGATCAACGACGAAACCCGGTGCATATATACACCACTATATATATATATATATATATGTATGTATGTATGTATATATATATATACATACATATATATTAATATATATATATATATATATATATGGATCTCTCTCTCTCAATTGAGTGCAAGGTGTCCTCCCGGTACTTCACGACGCTGCTATTCAGCAGCCGGCCAGGTTCAGAAGCCACAAGCGGCTGTGCAGCGGGAACGTGCACGGAGGCCCGGAAGAAGCACCAGTTCCTGGCTGCAACTTTCGCTCTGAAAAATCCAACGATCACCTGCAAGCTCTAACTAGTTATACCCATAGTCTCCGTTGTAGTTCCTTTTTGGGGTTACCTTCAAGGGTCCTAATTATAAAATAGCTAAACTAGTCAAACCAAAAACAGGAACTACAATGGAGACTACAGATGATTTATGATGCTGGAACTCCATGCCCGCATATCATGGAGCTCATGACCCACACAAATAGAGCTCCATTTAAACCCCTAAGCCCTAAACCGTAAACCCCATAGTCTCAGGGGCTGTTTTGCTCTAGCCTTTCTCCTCAGCGGCAGTACGACAGGCGAGCCGGACCGATGATGGGTTTCGAGTTTCGGGTTCAGTGGTTTAGGGGTTCAGGGGTTCAGGGGTTCAGGGTTTAGGGGTTTAGGGTTTATAGGGTTTGGGGTTTAGAGGTTTAGGGTTTAGGGGTTCAGGGTTCAGGGGTTCAGGGTTTAGCATTTAGGGTTTCGGGTTTTTAGGGGTTTAGGGTTTAGGGCGTCAGGGTTTAGCATCGGATCTTGCGCACTGTCTTTCTAGAGCAGGGGCATCAGCACATTCTTGCAAGGCATTGCGCGGCATTTTCCTGTTAACTGTTTGTCTCCCCATCGCCCCAAAACCTACATAGGCTCTCCGGGCTAGAGACCCTCACCCGCCGAAGCCAAACTTCAAACGAGTCAACTTGCTCACATCAGGCCCCCCTCACTCGGTGGATGAAGTCTCGACAACTTCCATGCCAAAAAGGTGCAGAACTGACGGATTTCGGCTTCTGGAGAAGAACCCCGCTCGCTGTAATATAGGGGCCTTCATAACTAGAATAGGGTTTTGGGGCCCATTATACTCTAACTATAATAAGGAGCCCCCCCCAAAATAGTATTTGGAATTATTACACCCGAAACCCTGAGGCCGCCCGAAGCCTAGGCCCGGTAAACCTAAATCCCTAGACCCCAAAACCGTTAAAAAACTAATATAAGGGCCTTAATAACTAAAATAGGGCTTTGGGGTATATTACACTAGAAGTATAATATGGAACCCCCACACTAGTATTGGTAATTATTTAGACTCTGTATTAGGCGTTGACGGGTTACGCTTCTGCTGCAAGACCCACAAGCCTTGATGCCAAAACTTTGGCAAACCCTTGAGAAACCCCATCATACCACTCTATTCAAACCCCACATAGGTCCTTCAGATCCTTCGCTGCAGAACTGAAATATAAAACCGTGCAACAACCCTATGAAAACCATGAACCCTGTGATCACCTCATCGCTGACAAAATGCCTACAATCGGATGCCGAGGCACTGCCTTTCTCCTCGGCCATCCACGCGGGTCTGCCCCTTCGATGTGCTCTGCTCAAGAGTCCCGGCGCGTGCGGCGGCCACCTTTTATGGTTAACTTCTCTAGAACTATTGAGACAAGGCTAGGCTACTTAGAGGCCCAGGGGACGTAGTAAGTAGGTTATAAATGGAGTTAAAAGTACCCTAAATGGAGTTACCCACCCTACTTATAACCGACTTACCAAGTCCCCTGGGCCTCCAAGTAGAGCCTAGAAAGATGGGATAATTAAGGAGTGGGGGGTCCAGGTTTTGAGTCAATTCACCCGTGAAAAATGATAATTGTAAAACGACGATACACATGTAATATTATGACGCTGGCCCCCAGCTGCAACCCCCACAGCCTTTGCTTTCAAGTGTTCGTCATCAAGCCTTCTCGTCACCTTTGCTTCCTCCATGTACCAACCATCCCCGTCATCCAAAAAGCACGCAGAACAGAACCATAACAATATCACGGCTTGATTTCAGTCGTCCTTGGCCACATCAGCAGAGCCTTCATCGAACAATCATGGAAGCTCTTACGTTTAGCCTTAACCCTTTAAACTCCAAACCCGAAAGCCTAAGCCTAAACCCTAAACCCTAAGCCTAAACCCTAAACCCTAAACCCTAAAACCTAAACCCCTAAACCCCTAAAGCCCGAAACCCTAAGCCTAAACCCGAAACCTCCTCCGCGGCCACCGGCAGCGCTCCGAAGCCCGCGAGAAGCCGCCAGGTGTGGTCGCTACCCAGGCCGCGAATGCGGAAGGTCTGCAAGCACTCCTCTGCTTAGAGGTCCGGGTTTAGGGTTTAGGGTTTTGGGGCTTAGGGTTTAGGGTTTAGGGGTTTAGGGTTTAGGGGTTTAGGGTTTAGGGTGTACTTAGAGGCCCAGGGGACTTAGTAAGTAGGTTATAAGTAGAGTTATAAGTACCCTAAATGGAGGTAACCCAACTATAACCCTACTTATAACCGACTTACTAAGTCCCTTGGGCCTCTAAGTACACCCTAAACCCCAAAACCCTAAACCCCTAAACCCTAAACCCCTAAACCCTAAACCCTAAAAGTACCCTGCAAAGTACGGTTTTGGGGAGTTTCTTTCAGGGATCTTGAGGGGCTTCTTTAAGGCTTTCTTCAAGGGATCTATAAGGGGTCTAGGGTTGCTTTGGGGGGCTTAAGGTTTAGGGTTCAGTGTTTTGAGGTTTAGGGTCCAGGGGTTTAGGGCAGGTCAGGATTCGCTTAGTGTTGGCTGGTCGGTTGGTTCAAGTATCAGCAGCTCGATCGAAACCCCAGCTTCCATGCACAAACTCTGACTTTTCTCCCCCTGAAACCACGACTTTTCCCTAAACCCAAGACCCTCAATTGGATTTACTCCGGAGCCCCACCTGACATGCCCCAACATCCTCAAATGCTGTTTTGCAGGGTTCAGGGTCCGGCCTCGATGCTGATAGGTTCTAAGATGTAGTAAGTGGGCCCAATAACTCAAACAGGGCTTTGGGGTTCTAGAAGAACCTAATGATCGCAGTTCTTTACGCCTCTAAATGCCTACGTAGCAGGCTTGCAGTTCGGAGTTCAGGCTTCAGTCCATGGAACGCGGGCGCACGCAGATGCCGAAAGCTAAACCGTATAAACTTTAAACCCTAACGTCACCCTAAGTATCCCTAAACCCTAAATGCCCCTAAATGTACTGAGGTCCTGATATCGTCGGATGATGCTCGTCTCCGGCCGCTGCTCCGAGACAAGGATGGCAGCGAACTCCTTCGGAGACAGTGGGAGGGGGTTTAGGATCTATACTGGGTTTAGGTTTTAGGATATAAAAGGTTAGGGTTTAGGGTTTAAAGCCCCTAAACCCTAAACCGTAGTGTAGGAGCTATGATTTAAAGGGTTTGATGCTTCTTGCCGCTCGCCCAGCTAGGGTTTACGCTCTCGCAACTCGGACGCAGCCAGACGAGGTACAAGTGTTCATCAGTTCGAGCGCATGTCGCAACGTTAGGAAAAAACAAAGAAGCGAAGCTAATAAACTGGAACAACTAAAAGCCCAACTGCAAGGTAGAACCGAAGGGGAATCATTTGTGGCAAAACATTCAACAGTCCCAATGCACGTGCAAGAATAGCAATACTCAAAAACACTGCTAGGGTTTCGGCACTCACGCTCGGACAATCCAGGCGAGGCATGGGGTCATTGGTCGGCCGTGTGGACCTTGAGAATGACTTGGCAAAAGGACAAGGAAACACCAACTCACATAAGCTAGACCCTACTAAAGGGTCAAGCTACTCCTCTCTCACCCACCAACGTCCCGCACACAGGCATTCCTAGTTCTGGGACTCCAGGTCAGGTGAGGTGTTGTGGGATGTTCTGCCGGTGAGGCGAAAAAGCGCGGTTTCTTCCACGGCGTGATCCAAAGACACATGTCTTATCTGTTCTGTGTCTTGTCTTTCTGCAGGTCACAAGAAATAGCCTGCAGGTAGTTTCGCCTTATAAAATCTAAAGCCTGAACTCTGAAGGCGCAGAGGCCCAAGAAGTCGACCCTAAAGCAGAAGGAACCTCGAAGCATGCACACTTTAGAGAACCGGGAGTCGTCTAGAGGAAAAGTTGTAGAGACCTGAATAAGCCCAGATGCCTCCGAGGCTTCCAGCATGCCTTGCCTGGGCTCGTCGACTATACTGAGAGCCAAACACATCCGAAAGAGGGTTTTGGGCTTCGGTTTGGGGTGTAGGCTGTAAATAGGGGCCGTATACGTAACAATTACCTAAACTATTTTGGGGCCTCCTTATTATAGCTATACTATAACATAGCCCAAAACGCTATTTCAATTATTGAGGCCCCTACAATAGTGCCAGTAGCAGCATCAAGGGGGTCTGGATGGCACCAGAAGCAACGACTGCCGGGCGGGGCTGTGCTGCAAAGCGTGCGTTGCTGTGCGCACTCGGAGCTTCAAGACTCGAACCGGCACTGAGACATATGGGAGCTTCCGAAAATAGGGGACCCTAATACAGTACCCTAAATAATAGGATCCTTATTATAAGGACCCCAAAATAAGGTACCCTAATTTTCGGAAACCCCCATATTGGTAGCACGCTTGGGCACAAACAGCGGAACCCTGAAGAATATACCTATAGTCTCCAATGTAGTTCCTTTTTTTGGTTTCACCAAATTTATTTTAAGGATCCTAAAAGGTAACCCCCAAAAGGAACTACAAGAGAGACTATAGGTAGTTCCTGTAATTGCGGATCGAGCTGCAAGCGCAGGCGCTGCGTTGCCAGGAGCTGGTTCAAGGCTTCCTAGCAGGCATGGGGAGGGTGACAAGGTCGGTGCATCATGCAGCAGTACTGGAACACGTGTACGTCTTTCGGAGAGACCGGATACCGATGGATTTATGCAACACACAGAAGGATGCAAGTGCTCGCAACACTCAGAAAACTCCTAGTTTGGGGAACTACCCATGGTAGAACCCTTATAGTTTCCTTGCAGAAACCCTTATAGCTCCCTGAACCCTAAACCTTAAATCCTAAACTTCTAAATCCTGAAACCCAAACCCCTAAATCCTAAACCCTAAACTCCTACATCCTAAACCCTTATAGCTCCCCCTAAAGAACCGTTAAGGAACCTTCAGCCCGGACTTAAAGCCGTCGGCTCTGTGGGGGCGCAAAGCCTCAACCCTAAACCCCTAAACCCTAAACCCTCAACCCCAAAATCAAACCCCTACAACCTAAACCCTAAACCCCTAAACCCCAAAATCTAACCCCCAAACCCCAAACCCCTAAACCCCAAAATCTAACCCCTAAACCCTTTTTGCAACGGCCCCTGAACCCCAAACCCTGATCCCCAAAATCTAACCCCTAAACCCCCAAAACCCGAAACCCCAAACCCTGAACCACCTTAGGCCCTTCCTCAAAGTCTCTGCTTGCAGCGGAAGCTCCCAGGCTCCGGAGGCTCGCAGCTCTCTGCCTCGCCGAGGCGACAATGACGGCTCGGGTTTAGGGTTTTAGGGTTATCGGAGTTGGGGTTTCGGGTTTTAGGGGGTTTAGGGGTTAGGGTTTAGGGCTTTAGGGTTTTAGGGGTTAGGTTTTCGGGTTTTAGGGGTTACAGGGGTTAGGGTTTTTGGGGTTCGACGCTTTAGGGGTTAGGGTTTCGGGTTTTTAGGGGTTATAGGGGTTAGGGTCTTAGGGGTTAGGGGTTTTGGTTTTAGGTGTTAGGGTTTTTGGGGTTCGACGCTTTAGGGGTTAGGGTTTCGGGTTTTTAGGGGTTATAGGGGTTAGGGTCTTAGGGGTTAGGGGTTTGGGTTTTAGGGGTTAGGGTTTCGGGCTTTAGGGCTTCTAAGGTTTCGGGTTTTAGGGGTTAGGGGTTAGGCTTAGGGCTCTGCTTCCTTCCGTTGCAGGCAAACACGGCCTGCCCACGAATGACTGATGGAATCTTGATGACGCTCATTAGCAATAGCAACTGCAAGCACCGGCGAGAATCACCAGCATCATTGGGTCTTGATTTCAATCGCAGAAAAGCTACGTGATCATGCAAAGCACATGTGTCCGTGCTCTGGCTACTATAAGACGGTTTTTCGCAGAAACAAGACCCTAGATCATCTACAAATGTTAGAGCAAGAACCAGGCACAACAATATTTTGCAACACATGCATGTTTCCATGCATACATCCACGCATACATGTGCATAAGACATGAGCTCGTCCATATAAGGAGGGTGAAAGGCAAAATCTGCAGAATCACGATTTCGGTTCAGGCCAGGTGCTCCCCGGCAGGCCCAGCCACGGAAGCACCGCGTCGTGAACGACCCACGCATCGTCGGCATCGACCTCACCAGTTCCCGCCTGAAAGCGGTCGTAGAACCTGGGATTGAAGGATTTGTGGGGTTTAGGGTTTAGGGTTTTAGGGTTCAAGGTTTAGGATGGTTTAGGGCTTGAGGGGGTCTAGGGTCTAGGGTTGGGTTTTGATGTGACGTGTTATTTTTGCCGGCTTGTCCTGGGGATTCAATGTGTTGGGCTCTCGGATGTGCAGACTTATGTTGGAAGCGGCTGATTGGGATCTGTTCTGGGGCTTGCTGATTCGATCATCCCTGTGGGACCGAAACAAAATGAAACAAATTTATCTGTTCCCCTGCTAATATCGAGCGAGCTGAGGTTTCGTGCATCCTGGGCACTAGGGGACCACCAATCAAGTCTCGCACATAGCTTGCTGATTGAGGGGTGTCCAGACCAGAGGGGTCCACTGAAGTACCACCTAAGAGTCCCGAAAGAAGCCCCCTCTAGCTTAAGGGCTGAGTACCCCAGACCAACAAAGGCAAACCTTGCGAACTATAGTAGGGTTACAAACACCCCTAAACCCCCAAACCCCTAAACTCTAAACCCTTTAAGGTTACCTACTCAGCCCCTACGTTGGTGTGTTCCTCGCTGCTGCAGGCTGCCACCTTTTGAAGGACCCATCTCCCAGATCAACTATGAGAGAGACTGTCGGAGTCGGCACTTGCGGCATCTCACCACCTCCGACGGTACTATGCTATACGATGGTATACTATGCTATACTATACTACACTATACTATATGATACTATACTATACTATGCTAGACTATACGATACTATGCCATATACATAACTAGACAAGAATAGACCCTAGACGATACTATGCTATGATGTGATACAAACATAAAACCCCGGCCTGAACCGATCAAACCTCCATCTCCCAAAGGGCCCCAAGTACCTACAAGGGGTCCCTTTAAGGGGTCCCTGGGTTGGTCCCTTAAAGGGTTCCTTTAGGGGGTTCCTTTCAATTTGATGTTTCCTTTCTGGAAAACACTTACCCAAAAACATAATACTAATTCCTAACATAGCAACCCTATATTCCACCCTAAACTCCAAACCCTAACTACATTCTACTATATAAGTACTTCGGGCCTTTTGGGCCTTTCAAAGCATGAGGAGCTGGTCCAGCAGCTTGCGGACGGCTCCGACGGTCCAGGCCTCTGGCTGTCTCTTTTCTTGGATTTCCGGTTTCCGGTGCGTCTAAGTCTAGGCTTCATGAGCCCAGTGACCCGTTGGATGAAGGAGTTGGGAGAACTCTCAGCACCAGGCCCTAAACCCTAAACCAGGCTCTGAGAGGGACTTTCTGTGGGATGAGCTCTAAGCTAGGAGCCTCAATGCCAAACCCTAGACCCCCCAAACGACCCTAAACCCTCAAAGCCCTTCACAACTCTAAAGCAACCGTGATCCTAATCGTAAGCTTGCGGGCATGGTGAAGTTAAGAGGCAGCATTCCGGGATGGTTGACTTGTCCAATTTCCCAGGGGAACTGAAGAGTAAGCGGGGGGGGGGGGGAATATAAAAGATTTCTAGATCACCGAAAAATTTAAAAAGGTTAAAGGATACTTACTCTACTACTAAGCTACCAAGGAGGAAATCTAACGTCGATGTCGGGTCCTCGGAACCTGCAAGAACACTCCAACTACTTAAGCGCTAAACCCTTCAAGCAAACTCTTTCCGACACACCCGGCGAAACGGTCCCTGAACCCTAAACCCTAAGAAGGTTGGGAACTCCAGGAGCAACTCAAGAGATCTCTCTGGAAACGAAAAGCTGCCCAGCTTCCCCAAAGGTCTAAGCATAAAGCCCGCATTATAAACAACAAAACCCATTATGGAAAAGACTTAGGTAGCTTTTGCAGCAACACGTATACAGCCTTTGCCAAAAACGCCTAAAGCCCTTATGAACGAATTCACAAAAACATATAGGTGTGTGTATATATATACACACACACATAGCTATACATGCACACATACATAATACAGACATATATACATCTAACTTTTATGAGCAACCACAGAAGGGCCTCGGAGCCCAAGCGTACATCTGGGCCCAGCCGTGGGAGACCCGCGAAGGAGAAGGCCAGGAGCTTCGCGTTGCTCCAGGTTCCTTCTTGGGGGCTTTTAGGTTGTTTTTTTTTTTTTTTTTAAGGGGGGCTTAGGGCTTATAGGGCTTAAAGGGTTTAGGGGTTGGGGTTCAGGGATAGAGGCTTGGGTTTGGATTTAGGGGTTAAGGGCTTGGGATTTAGGGCTGCGGTGATCTCTAGCCCTAGAGTACTGCGTATCAGGGCTTGCGGGTAATCATTATAGGGCTTAAGGGTAATATAGGGACCTTAATAATTAGCATGGGGCTTTGGGACGTGGCTTGCAGAACATTCGCGAAACATGAGAGGCAGGAAACCAAGTCGCTATGCCTGTTCCGAAAAAAACACGGATTTGGCTTCGCACCGCGGATTTGAAGGACTATGAAGCAATAGATCGGTTCTAGGAAGTTAGGATCAGGTCCCCCTGGCCTAGTATACTTAGTTAGTACAGGGACCCCAATATTCAGAACAGGGTTCTAACATTCTTACTTATGATGAAGGAACCCTCAGCTCCCTAAGCAACAGTATTGGTAATTCCTCAGGCCCGGCGTTTCGTTCAAGCTGCTTTCGGTTATAATGGCCCCAACCCTTGACTCAAAACCCTAAACCTCTTGAGCGACCTCCACACTAAGACTTAAACCCCAAACCTCTAAACTATGATTTGTTGACCTCAACCCGAGGATCGTGGCATTGAGTTCTTGAGTTCCTGCAAGGCATCGGCACAGGCAGCCTCATGTGACCCGACTAAAGGGCCTTATTTCTTTCAATTGTTTTTTTCCCGGAAGCGGGGCACATATTCTACTATCGTGAACTATAGGATCCCTCAAGCCTCAAGATAGCTAATTCCATCTTGAACTAAAGGATCCCTCAAGATAGTACAGATTCGCACAAGGTGGCTGTATCAAGGCCCTTATGTTGCAGCCGGGGATCCCAAGCCACGATAGCCATTCGTGATCTGGCCGATCACGCGCCTTGGAAGCCGTCTCTGCCATGAGATGCTGGTATGGCCCATGTAAACCGAGCACAGGAACACCATTCACATCCTTATGCAGTTAGGTCCAGCTAGGTTGAAGCCTGGGATTTTGCGCAAGCTGAGACGTGATAGTCCACAGATACTGAAACAATTTCTATCTCCAAACAGCTGAAAGCTGCAAGAGCGGATCATGACGATGGCGAAGGGTGATGAAGGCCCAAGCAACCTCGGCATGCAGCATGCAGCAAGGGTAGAACTTATACTTCCACACCTCCAAAGCTCTAAACTGCTCTATCCCATGGGAAAGACGGCCCAGCGTCCTAGAACTACACACCTTGGCCTATCGGCCTATCGTCCGATTGCAGTTTGCATATGTGCATCAGCGCCGCCATGGCGAGATGCTGCCCATGGAAATCCTCGCCACGCAGGCAGGTCTCCGTCGCAACCTTCGTTGTTGGACTACTGCTGAATCATTTCAGGCTTCGCTTCGTGGGCTCGGATGAATTTTTGAGCGAAATCGGAAACATGCTGGGAGCAACCCTAAACCCTAAACCCTAATTCAGCCCTACCCTACACCCCTACACCAAACCCGAAACCCAAAACCCCCTGCTCCCGAGCCGGGCCACAGCATTCATGAAGCCAGCATCATAATCGCCCGCAGATGCAAAGGCCCAAACAGTGTTGGACAGATCCTGTTGTAGTAGACGACGTATCGGTATTTTGCTGATTTCATACATGTCTGGAAGCTTACCCTATAGGGGTCCAAAGGACCTGATAATCAGGTACTGACTTGGGTTTGGGATAGTGGTTCCGTAGCTTCATAGTTGGGATTAGTGGGCACTTGGACCCGTAGGGCGCAGTGAGATCCCGAAAAAACTGTTGTGAAGTTCCTCCTACGCCCCAAACACCAATGATGTACGGGCCATAATAATTAGAATAGGGCGAATAGGTATTGGGGGTCCTTTATACTGTAATTACAATCCGGAACCCCCACAATAGTATAGGTAACTATTGAGGCCCCTATACTACCTGATCCCCAGGAGCCCCTTCTCCTGGTTGTTGAACTCCCGGATGGTTCGGACAGCCGTTGCCGCCAAGACCTCGTAGATGGACCGATCCTTTGGCAATCTGATTTAAGACTTAGGCTCGGGCATAGTACCTATAGCCTCCATACAGTAGTAGTTCCTGGTTCTGGGTTTGACCAAATTTGTAATCAGGAACCTTTATAAGGTAACCCCCGCAAGGAACTACAATGGAGACCATAAAAATGCGTCGATGCGATGCTTTGCTGTTGCGACTGGCGGGCCTAGTCTACCGTCACCCAGACCCGCCACGTGATGCAGGGGTCTTATAATAGAACAGGGCTTTGGGGTATACATTGATGGCCCGGGAACTTGAGAGGACTTTATAAATGAGATCAAGTAGCTTTAAGTCAATACAAATGCTCCCAAATCGTTTTAAGTCTGTGGTAAGTTCTTATAAATTTCCCATTCGTAAGTAATTTTAAATTACTTATAAGTGACTTAGCGGGAGATAAGACTGCGCCGTGAAATAATTTAGGAAAACTTAGGACGAGTTATGCTTTTTGTTACAAATGCTGGTTTTGGGATGGCAAGCGCAGAAAACAGCTGCTTTTCGGCTCAAAGTAGTAGAGGGGCGTCATGGCTGCCGTGTGTAAGCAGCTCGAAGCAGCGCAAAGGTTCCTTCGGCAGGTGTGCAAGCTGCCGAGCTTCGAGAGTCTTCGTGAAAAGCAGCTCACGGTTGTGCTTTCGGTGCTGAAGAAAACGAAAGTTCTCAGCCTGAAAGATGCTAACAGCATTTTGCAGATGTTGGAGTCAGACATCTGGTCCGAGGACCTGAGCCAGCAAGTGCGGGAGGCGGTTTCTGGGCTCCTTGTCGTTGAAGCAGCGGACCAAGGAGAGGACTCAGGGAAGCGTGGGCCGAAGGGCCAGGACTTTCAGAACTTTTTGGTCTTCTTGAAAGACTCGCAGTGGAACGCGTTGCAGCAGTCCAGCACTGTCTCAGCTGGGTGCAGCATGCTTGCGAGTATGCTGGGCCAGCTGGGCTTGCGGCATCCTTCGGAGTGGACTTTTGGAACGATGTACTGCTTCATGCATCTAGTACAAAAGCGTGAAGTTCCAGAGGCCTCGCAAGCTTACAACGAGATCTTTAAGTTGAAGCCTGCAGTCCGCAAGCAGCTTGAAGGCCTTCCCGAACCTGTTGTGTACCTGCAGCAGCTACCCAAGACACCGGAGGAGCTACCTGAGCGGCTTTTCAACGAGGTCTTCGCGTCCGAGCGGCCTGGCGTTCCCAAGGTGTCGAAGGACAGTCTGCTGTTCACCACGTCTCTGATTTCCATGCGGAAATCCAGCGACAAGGTCATAGATCCCCAAAAAGTGGCTCCTGCACCTGTGGATCCCTTGGCAGCAATGGCGACCATGAGCACGGCTCTGATGGCCCACTTGGTCACGACCTCGGGAGCCGGCAGCACGCAGGCAGTGGCGGCGCCGACTCTGGCAAGAGAAGCAGCGCCACCGCCGATGCTGGCTTTGTGCGATGCCCCGCATCCGACAGCAGAGGCGACAGGCGCTGTCGAAGCAGAAAAGGCTGAGACGAGTCTGGTTCCTGTGGTTCCTCCCGAGCCGTCGCAGGTCGACCAGTACTTGGGTGACCTCAAGTCTTGCTTGCAACGCGAGGGCTCTGGCAAGAAAGCGAAGATGAGGCGGCCGTCAGCAGCAGCCTCATCTCTGAACGGCAAAGGGGGCTCCAGCGTGTTGCAGGAGGCACCTGCAGGACCTCAGAAGGCCAAGGCCAAGGCCGAAGGAAAGCAGCAGCCTCGCAAGAAGCCTGCAGTCAAGACGCCCGGAGCCCTGAAGCGACCTGCGGCTTCGAGCGGCCCCAGATCCATCAAGGAAGTTCCCGGGCTCTCCTGGCAGCAGCGTGTGAGAATGCGACCCGAGGGTTGCTCGAAGTGCCGTTGGCACAGAGGTTGCACTTTGTCGTGCTTTGCAACCTACCTGAAGCAGCAGTCGGAATGCTAAGGGCGTTCGGCTCATGATCCGCCTCGATTTTTTCGAGCTAGTATATTCCTGCAAGGGCAATCACTTCGCAGGTCTGCGACCATGAGGGGCGAGTCTGCGACGAAACATATGCAGTAACACTTCCTGCTAGGCTCTTTTATTCATACTGACAAGATTTTGTAGTCGAGGCTTTTGCTGCAGGGTTTGGTGTCGAAGCTTCTTGCTCGAAACTGTCGTGCCGCGTGTCCATGTATGTTTCTTTGGCTCAAAGGTGCACGGTAGGGGTGGGCAAGCTTCCTCTGCCAAGGCAGCACGTGGAGGCCCGCTGAGAGAAAGACAGAGGGAGAAAGAGAACCCGAAACCCTAAACCCTAAACCCTAAACCCCTAAACCCCTAAACCCTAAATCCTGAACCCTAAACCCTAAACCCTGTAATGTCGCTACATATTTTCGTTTCGGGTTCAGGGGTTATAGATGTATATACAGATACATATAAGAGAAAACTTATATGTTGTACAGCTATATATAATATAGAAACATATATCTACAAGTGTTAAACATGAAAAAGTATAGAGGCTGCGGCCTCCCTCCCATGTGGGGCTTGATGGCTCTGGCCTCGGCCCGCAAGTGGCGTGTTGGCTACGGCCACCGCCAGAAGATGGATGTGATGGCTGCGGCCTCCGTCCTTCGGTGTGCTGGCTACGGTCGCCGCCGCAGACGTGATGGCTGCGGCCTCCGTCCTTCGATGTCGCCGCCGCCGCTGCTGGATTGGACGTGATGGCTGCGGCCTCCGTCCTGCGGCGCGGTGCCTAGCCGCACCTGCTGCGTCGGACGTGATGGCTGCGGCCTCCGTCCATGGGCGTGGCTTCGGTCCGCTGTGGCATCTGCCCCTGACGTGACGGCTGCGGCTTCCGTCGGGTGGGCAGAACGACAAAGAGTAACAGAGAAAAAAACGAGAGAGAGCACCCTAAAGACTATATAGGAGTATATATATATATATATCTTTAAACTATATATTCATATATATTCATATATATTCATATATATTCATATATATTCATATATATTCATATATATATATATATATGTATATATATATATATACATATATATATATATACATATATAAATCTATATGTATATACACACCCTAAACCCTATAAACCCTCAACCCTACGCCCTGGCCAGGTGCTGACTTCGTGTCCAGATGGGCACGAAGCTGGGGAAGAAGAAGGAAAAGAAATTAAAAGGAGGAGGAAAAGGAACGGAAGGAGACCAGCAGCAGCGAGAAGAAGAAGGAAAAGAACAAAAAGGAGGTGGAACAGAAGGAGAGCAGCAGCCGCGAGAAGAAGGAAAAGAAAAAAAAGGAGGAGGAAAAGAAGGACACCAGCAGCAGCGGCAGTAGTGACTCCAGCGAGGACAGCGCCGCTCCTCCTGGCCCAAGTCCAAGGCCTGCAGAGGAGCCGAAAGAACCAGGCCCTGAGAAGGACGACGAGGAGGCAGCAGCGGCTGAGGCCGCCGCTGCTGAGCTTCGGCGGCGTGCTCTTGCGGAGCTTCACAAGCAGAAACCAGCAGAGCCGCCGGACAAGCCAGCGCCGCGGTCGGACCTCCCGGCTCAGCCGGAGCCCGCTCCGAAGCGGGCCCGGCAGAGCCGGGCGGAGCGGCGCGCCCGAGCAACCCTGCACTGCACACGCTGCAACTCGTGGATAGTTCCGTCGGAGGCGGCGTGGGCCCAACACCGCCGGGGCTTGCGCTGCCTCTCCCACGCGTTCTGGGCTCTGGGCCGGCGGCCGTGGTCAGCCTGCCAAGAAGCAGCGGAGCAGCGGCGCCAGGCCTGGATGCAGGGAGACGTGTCCGACAGCCCTCTGCCGGATCGCTTCCGTGAGGCTTCAGTTTCGGCCATCACCGCTCGCTCTGGCACGAGGCACCGCTCCAGACCTGCCCGCTCGCCAGAGAAAGAGAAGGTGAGGTCCCGGCATCGCCGGTCCCACAAGCAGCGGTCCCGGTCGCGAAGCCGTCCGCGGCTCAAGTCGCGACGACGCCGTCGCTCTAGGAGTGAGAGGCCGCTGCCGCACCTCGACGACGCCCGCGGGCCATTTGGGCCCAAGGGACCGCCGGGCCCGCCACCTCCACCTCCAAGCGGAGGCAGCGGCGACAAAGCTGCCCTGCTCCGGGGCCTGTGGGAGACCACCCTTCAAACTGTTCTACAGCAGCAGTGATCGGATCGTCGGGCCAAGGAGCCTCGGCCAAGCAGCCTGCTTCGTGCCGGCCCGAAGCTCTGTCTCGCTGCTTGCTGCAGCTGTACTTTCCGTAGAGCAAAGCTGCTTGCCTGGGTTCCTGCTTCAGTTTCGGAGACAAGGTCTATATATGTATACCCTCTTTATGAACCATGTATCCGTATATAAGTCAATGCCCTGAAAGTACGAAAAAAACTCCGAAGCGTGTTGCCGGGAACTCCCTGCTGTAGACGCACGACTGCTGTGTGAGACGGCCTGTGAAAACAAAGAGCTTGGCGTGATTTAGACGGAGCAAAGCCCGGAAGCCTCAACCCTAAACCTGTATATAAATCCTAAAGCCAAATAAACCCCAAAATCCTAATCCCTATAAACCCTAAACCCTAAACCGCGATGCCCATAGTTTGCGGACACTTCCCTGGAGCAACATATGTAACTTCCTGCAGTGTTTCTGGATCAACCAGGTCTCCATTTTTTCAGATTGAGGGTTAGGGGTTTAGGGTTTTTGAGGCTTGGGGTATAGGGCTAGGGGCTTATATACATATATATATATAGGGGTTAAGGGGTTAGGGCGTTCTTAGTGTATAGCTCTAAACCCTATACCTTAAAACGCTATGTACAAGCTTGAAACCTTATACGCGAATCCTCGCCTCTCCAAAGGGTCGATGCCCTTTGTTTGCAAGACTTGTAAGAGCCTGCAGTGTTTGTGGATCAAGCAGGCAGCTGCAGAACAAATGACGCGCGATCCAGCTACCATGTCGGACCAGCAACTTGCAGAGTGGGCTGCAAGCTTGGATGCCAACATGCGGCGACGCATCCAAGCTGCTCTGTTGAATGCTGCCGAAGAATCCAACACAGGCTCTGCTGCCGGCAGCAATGCACGTGTGCAGGCTCCGCCGCCACCGCTGCCAGCTGCTGATGTACATCGCCGCGCTCGCTGCAGCAAGGCGTGCCCCAATGCAAGCCAGGGCGTGGCGGGCTGTCGCATGTTCTGCAAGCGGAAAGACAAGCCATGGAAGAGATATCCGCACAGGAGCCACTACTGCGGGCCCTGCCACTCAGCTGGGTACGGTGTCGATTCGGAGTAGCAGAGCACAGCTGTTGCTGTGAGCAAACGGCTCCGTGAAGCTGTTTCTCACCGGCCGAGCATCTGAGAGTCAGAGCTTCGGTGTGCTAGCAGTCGAGTCTGCAAGATATAGATCTTGCGGCACGGTCGCTGCAGGGTCCCGTTGCGAAAAGCTCTGCAGACAGTTTGCAGCAGCAGCTCCACCTTAGAACCACCTTGCTTTATGAGGCCCCCGAAGACTCCCAGGCAGGTAGACCACCTTAGCACCTTAACTCTGCATCCTAGAAGCCTGGAGGGTTTAAGGCCTCCCACCTTGCACCACCTTGCTCAGGATCTCGACACAGGCAGGCCACCTTGACCACCTTGCCTTGAAGATACAAGGGAATTGACCACCAGGGCCACCTTAATCCAAGGTGGTCAGGCTTTGAGGCCAGGGCTCCACCTTAGTTCACCTTGCAAACACCTTGCTTCTGAACCGGCTGCTTTGGAAGCATGTCTCAATAACACGTTGTCCCCCGGAAGCAGGTTTCAGGAAGCACTATAGCTGTCAAACTGCGGATTGTTTTGCTTCGTAGCGGCATGCTGCCGACAGCAAATACGAGTCTCATGTCCATCTATATATATATATATATATAGCTGTTACGGCTCTCAAGAGTTGTCCTGCTCGCCCCGGCCTTTCTTCGTCGTGCCAAGCATGGCCGTTGTTGCTGCCGACGCTGCCGAGCCTCGCTTTGAGGACCTCTCTGCAGGAGAGGCAGAGCTGGAGCCTGGACTAAGCCGCTGCCACGACTGCGGCCAGTCTTTCAAAGTCGCCGACCTGCACGGTCGCTGGCGCAAGAAGCTCTGCCTCGGTTGCCGCCGCACGGAGCACACACTGTGGCGACACGTGGGTGGCTGGGAACAGTTGCAGACCTTGAGCGACGAGGAGCGGCACAACTTCTTCAGTGCGACTTCCGGGTCGAGCTGCTGGAAGACTGTGCAGAGCCGCCTGCTAGAGAGCCTCACACGGGAGCGAGTGACTTCACTCACCGTCTCCCTTGGTGGAAAGTACCTCCCACCTTCGGTGTGGTTGAAGAAGGGCTTCAGCCAGGAGCAACTGGACCGCTGCGCGGACTGGGAGGACAACGAAGTACTTGGCCGCACCTGCCGCTTGCAGGTCAAGGAAGTGTCCCAAAGCTGCGTTTTGCGGACGATCCAGACCGAGCTTCTGGAGAGGGTCAAGGAAGTTGCCCGAGGCAAGGCTGGCAAGGGAACCAAGACGTGGGACTTGCAGGCACCAGCCGGGTCGTTTGAGAAGCAGGGGAAAGAAGACCCGGCTGAAAAGAAAGCAGCACGTGCAGTCGCCAAAAACAACAAGACTGTGCTGTCCTTGGCTGCCAAAGCCCTAAGCCAGGTCACGAGCAGCTGGTTGCAGGCAGAGCAACAGGTCGGCAAGCCGGCACCCCCTGAGCAGGAGCCGACCGTCGCTCTGCTGAAAGAGTCCCACGCTCTGCTGCAGAGCTGGAAAACAAACTGTGAGCAGGTCCTCGCCCAGAAGGAGAACGCAGGCGACCGGGAGCTTTCCTTGCCCTTCTCCAAAGAGGACTTGGACACGCGAGTGAAGAGCGTCGCCGTAGCCGTCAAGGACTTGAAGGACGCTCGCAAGACGGAGCAGCAAGAGAAGAGGGCTGCCAGGCAGGCGAAGCGGGGAGGCGGCGGCGACGCCGACGAGAAAGTCCGCCCGGCTTCTAAGCGCCTCAGAGGGAAGAGCAGCGGCAAGTGAACAGCTTCAGGTTGCACGCCAGCTAGCACTGCGGTTGTCCTACGCCCGCACGCAAGCTATAATTCATAGTTTTAGCACTTAACACCCCATAGAGGGGGTGCTGCGAGATCGCCCGCCCACATCAGGGCGATGCTCTACGGGGAAACCACGACGGAGCCGAGTGGAAGCAGAAGCAACGCCGTGTTGAAAACAAAAAGGCTGCCCGCTGTAAACTTGACCAGGTCTCTCGAAACTGTGCCTCCTCTGTCACTCTATTCTCTCTGTCTGTCTCTCTCCTATAATGTATTATAATTAGTAGTACTAATAACTAAAAAAAAGGATATATATATATATACATATCTATGTCATATATGGGTTATATAGGGTTTTTATAGAGTTTCGCATTTTCTTTAAATTGTTTTTAGAGCCCCCTGTGTGTATATATACATATATATATATACATATTCCAAACCCTGTACCCTTAAACCATTTGCTCTCTGCTTCCGAGATCATTCTCGGCTCGAGCCCCATGCTCCGAAGAAGCATGCGAGTCCGTGCTACTCTCTGCGACAAGGGCGTTCGGCTCTATGCCGGCGCCAGCAGTAACATAGGTCTGCACATGGACTTGAAAGCCTACTTGCGGCGAGGCGCGACACCGCCACCGACGGAGTCCTCGAAGAACTCTGCTGCCGCAGACGCTGCCGTCCACTCCGACAATAAGGCAACGGACTCGGCAACGCTGCCCTGCACTCCCGGCTCCGATGCCGCCACACTCGTGCTGCCGGGGCACGCCTCGGAGGACGAGGTCTCGCCAGGCACACCAGTCGGAACGCCCGTGCCGAAGAACCCGCAGTTGCAAAGCATGCTTGCCAGGAGCCACGCTGCGGTTCTCCGGAGCCTGCGGCTGCAGCTAGAGCATGCCCTCGACGACCCGAGCGATCCTCTAAGCGACAAGCTGCGACGCTTGTTGGGCCAACTGAAAGAGCAGGTGCAGTTTGTCCTCACTGACTTCCTGGAGCCAGAAGCAGCTTACTGGGAGGAGCAAGACATCCTCGAAGTGCAAGCTCGTGGCAATGCAATTCTCGCGGACATAGAGGACGGTCTGCAGATGAGCATGGCAGCGCAGCTCTCGCCAAGGTCGTGTCAGGAGACGCCAGCGAAGCGTGCCCGACACTGCGAGCCTGCAGAAGCTGCACGGCCAGACGCCCCCAGCAGCACGGCAAGCAGCAGCAGGACGCGCTAGTCACATGCTTCGAGGGATGCATCTTATAGGACCGCACGCTGTATCTCACCTTGGCAACGGGGCAGGCCACAAAAGAAACCGCAGCTGCAAATAAGCCTTCCAGGTTTCCTGTCCCTGTAGCACGGTCATTCACACCTCTTCATGGTGCTCTGCTGCACTGCAGGTTCGGCTCAAAACCAAGGCACCGATGACGACCCTTTCCCATAGCTCAATAGGCCAACATAGGGATACACATATGTATACATCTACATACATAGGTTTGTAAAGCCCCTCTGTAGATTATTTGGATTGTTGTAAAAAAGACACATATGTCCAGCTAGCATGACGAAAAGGAATGATTATGCGACTTCCCTAGCACATGCCGCCGCAACGACGCGCTTTTTGAGCGCTGCAACAGCGTCGGCTTGTTGTGAGAGGCCTTCCGAGCTCGATCGGGAAGAGGCCGCCAAACGTGACACATTCAAGAAAAGAAGGGGCCCCAGGGACCCTCTCTTTCAAATCA